CGCCAAGCTCGAGAAAGTATTCAGTGTTTTTGCACTGGCACAAGTGCTGGTCTTCAGTTCGTTGATCTGCCTCGATGGATATCAAGTACTTATGGTCAGTACATAGCGTTTATGGCATATATTAGTTTTAGATGTTCACATACACAGTACAGAGTACAGTAGTACACCATTTCTCTGAACCCCAGCTATCGAAACGAAATTTTCGTAAATGTCTTATTTAGTGAACTTCTGCTGAACTCTTATCAGAGGACGTTAGGGACGTTTTTTGAAGATTTTCTCCACGAGAAAGAATAACATTCAGCATTTCTATCAAATAAATTTTCTGTTCGGAACTTGACTTTTAATTGCAATGCATTATGTTCTATAGGCAGATGTACCGATGTCAACTCGCATGATATTCATATTTCACACACTGGGATGCACAGCACAGCTGTTCATGTTTACTTACAGCTGTGATTGTATAATGAAAGACAGTGGGAATGTTGCTACAGCAATGTACGCGACTACATGGTCCTACCTGCCGATGGACAATAACGGAAGAGCGTTACGAAAAGACTTGATACTTGCGATTTTGTATTCCGGAGTACCTTGCTGCCTGACAGCCCATAAATTCTTCCCTGTATCTCTAGAAACGTACACTGGGGTAATTTATATCATCTTCTTGCTGTTTCTTATATTGTTGCACCCAACTGTGATTTCCCTGTTCAACATTGGTATCGTTTAACCGTTCGTTTTACTTCTTACAGGTAATGAGTACCGCAGTGTCATACTTCACACTATTGAAGCAGCGAACCTCAGAAACGACCTAAGTGTGTCCACGTGTTATCCAATCCGTACATGCATAGATTTCTGATTAAAATAATGTGAATTATTTACATTTGTTACATACATGAATAAAAGAATATTCAAAGGAACATATATTTGGTGCTATAGAATGTACGCTTGTTTTTTGGTACGTAATGTCAGATTTTCACTTTTGCGTATAGATAGTCTTTTATATACGTAGCGGACCTACCTGACCGCAAGGCGGTCACGATGGTGGTCACTTATGGAAGCAGGAGAATGTTATTTCTATTTAGAGTTTAATCTTTTGAATATACTATGTACATATACAGAGTGCCACATCTAAAATAGCCTACCTGAGTATCTCTTTCAAATATGGTAGTACAACAAATATTTTTATAGCTTATATAATTCAAATTATATTTATTATACTTGCTGTATAAGATGATACACAGGAAATCTCCTTGATATTGAGCCTTGCAGCTCGGTTGAAATCCTGGAACTGCAACTGGAAATGTCTATATATTTCAAGTACTCTTAAGGACCTCCCTGCAACTAAATTATTGTAATTGAAATATCTTCTGCTTATAATAATTATATCTGCCGAATTAACTACATATATAAACACCGGTTTATTATGATCAATTAAACTTCATATCTTCAGGATCTTCACTCTCACTTCTTTATTTGATAAACGTCTAGCTATGCATTCTTCTATCAACGATCTACCACCAACAATCGCAAAATATCCTGCAGATAGTAAAGGTAGCCCTTTACTAACGTTAAACTGCTTATTTCGCAAATCCATGTACGATAGTGAGTCATTAGTGGGCCTCACAGGAAACTAAAATGTTCCCTTATTCATGCATAACTCATCGACTCTATGCATTTTCCCTAGGTTTGAAAGTAGCAATTTCGGTAGCAGTATTTAATAACAGAGCATAAGTAGCTAAAAGAAAAAGTATACAATCTACGAACGATGTTACAAGATCAAAGGCCAGATGGTATTGATTTCTTCGAGTAAACTTCTACAATTCATGCGTATGATCTGTATAGAAGTTTCAAGTGGGAACTTTTATTTCGATTTTGTGCACAGTAAAGATGTTTCCATTGCTGCATTGTGCTACTATTCGAACATAACACTGTATCGAGTCGTGTCGAGCAAACTTTGAAATATCACGTTAATTTTTTCTATGTTCACTCGCATTTCTGGGTTGATTCAAACACAAAATAAATGTTTCTCCTGACCACATGGCATCAACGTGAGTGTGTGAAGATTTTACCTGTAAGGGCTTTTGGAATGCGATTGATTCTTCGACTCTATAATCCTATTCGTAGTCACTTAAAATGTACATAGTACAAATTAGTCCTTAAGGGCGTTAGATCGATACGTTGTTCGAAGTGAAGATCAATTATTTATTATACATACAATGCAACACACCTGTTAGTCGGGAGCAAGGTTAACATCAGAACAAATGCGAACAAAATGATGACAGTACACCGAAGCCACATGGGTTCCCATTGATTATTTTCCACAAGTTACGAGTAACAGGACATCGAGTTAGTTGTAACTGAAAATGATCTGGGGCCACTGCGACGATGTTTCTACCGCTATTGCGTCCACATTCATGAAGATCTCTGGACTCTGGACGTCAGCTAACCGCGTGGAGCTGTTCTACAGACACTTCACCTTGGTTTACAGTGTCATCGGAATACTCTTTATTTCTGTCATTGAGATTATAGAGTTTTACTATACCATGGATGATAATTTGAGCGTAAGTATGCGGACCATTAACGCAGTACACGATTTTTCGTTAGGAAATGAATCTGGGAGATTTACCAATTCTTTACGATTACCATCGTACTATATAGTAACATAAAAGAATCCCAAAAACACAAAAATGAAATGAAATGAAGACATAATAATGAATTTCAAGCTTGTGTATAAACATTCATTTATTAATTCGTCTGCATTTATTATTACATAAAATTTTGTAAGAATATACAAGCATGACGTAGCGATATCATCTGTCTGAAACCATGTATTATATTTTTATGTTTGTAGGAATGCCTGTATAATGCGGCCAACATTTTAACCGTGGGCATGTCTTTATTCAAGTTACTTGTCTTGTTTCCACACAGAAAGGATTTTCTGAACTTAATTCGGTACTTGGAAAGGAAATTTTTACACGCGGATTACGACTTTTACGAGAAAATGGTCTTGGATACGTGCAAACGTACCAGTACATTCTTCATTTGTACCTTTACTTATTCTTGCCACGGTGCACTGATAAGTTACGTCCTGCATCCTATCATAGGTGAGGCCTGTATACATCTAAAGTAGAACCTCAATTATTGCTAGGTAACGAGCTGAAAAATCCCGCTATAAACGAAGAAAGCATTCCCAACGAGTCTTATGACGGGCCTCGCGTGGGCGGCCGGGAAAGCCGCTATTCAACACGATCAGTCGCACAATTTCCACGGACGAATTTGTTTATAAAAATTTGGACTCTCTCTAGCGGAGAGTGAAACTCAAGGGAGGTCGAAAGGGGAAATAAACTTTGATCCGCGTACGTTTAATCGAATTTCTTTATTCGCGCGAAATTTACGCGGGGAATTCCGCAGTACAATCACCGTAAAGAAAAAGATGTGGCGACCACGCGCCGCAAGGGGAACGCGACGCGGAATTCCCGATACAAAAAGAAAGTATCCAAAAGAAAGAAAAAGAACACCTAACAGGCGCGACTTAATTCTATGTGGACCTTGCAAACAAGAATCCACTCTACAACAAAATAGAGTCGGAAAAAAGATTACGCCGGGAATTAACGGCTGCGCGTATCGAAGGGGCTCTTTCCTTCGAAACGTGACTCGTTCTCTAACCGCGCAAGGCCACAAATGCCCTCCGGAAGTAACCGGAGGGAACTCCGAAAGGTTCTCGCCTCCGGAGGTGGTCCCGTCGTATATAAGTGCACCGGAGCACGTCCGCGGACGCACACACACACGATCCCTTCGCTCACTCACGCGTGCACACAAACGAAAACCCCAACGAGTGGGCCCTACCTGGGTATTTCTGGCCCTTGGGTGTTGGATCGTCCTTAATGGGATTACAGCAGCCACTCGCGGATGCAACTATCGCGAAAGAGAAGATAAGGCACTCCAAAAAAATATACTGCGAGATCAAGGAAACGTTAGACAGTCGTGTCACTCGTGGCTCGATTAGCCGTTAATTGTTTCTTTATTCGCCAGTTTTGGCCAAAATTTCGGTGTCGGGTGTTTTCGGCGCTCTTTGCGTCGCCGGCTCGTGGCTCCCCCCACCCAGGATCCCGAGGGGCTCCTACCGGCGTCCACCACCAACACTCAGGGTGGATCAGGTCCTGGGGGTCCCCTTGGCAGTTCCGGTGGTCCATCCTTGGAGGTTGGCTAGTCCTCCCTTGGTGGCGGCTGCATCTGCGTTCTCCTCGGGTGGAGGGCACCGCTACCGGCGACTTGCCGCGCTATTACGAATTCGCGGCGGCAGGGGATAGGTGACAAGGGCGCTAGGAGAAAAGGGTCTCTATGTACCGTGGGCACGCATTCCTCCACGCTCGACCACCTCCGCGGGCGTATGTAGCGGGGAGGGAGCGAGTCTGCCCCGTCACAGTCTATACATTACATCTACTATCATCTGCAACCCTACTACTCGTCCACATCGTGCAACAAGCCAGGCTCTAACGCAATCATCGAGATTCTACTGTACATATTAATCAACTATATTCAGAGCAGAACTACCACGCGAGGAAGTACATGAATTGCATTTTGTCCTAGTTAACATTGGAAGAAACACATCAGACAGAGTATTGCCAGTGAATATGAGAGCAGATATGTTATCCATGACACCGTACTTCGAGATACTATTTCTGTTCCAGGTACAGCAATTCTTTATATATTTTTCAAGAATGTCGTTGGAATACATATTAGAATAATCTTGAACGTGTTTTACGTAACCATAGCAGTAAACGCAGTCAGCTGACTTTCGAGTCTTTTTCTTTCATAATATAGCTTATTTTGTAGAATAAATTTGGACACTTTACTATAGATATATAATAGTTGTTGACACATCTAAAGTATGTCAAAAATTGACTCTTGATGAGCTAAATCTACTTTAGAGCAACGATTTTCTTACAGAAGCTATTAAAAATGTTTTATCGTGCTCAGTCTACAAATCTCAATAATTATAAGAATAATTGGGACCTGATATTTCTATTATCGCAGGTTTTGGCCATATATCAAGTCGGAGTGGTCTACTTCTGTTCTGATAATTACCTATGTATCATGAATCTGCATGTAGCTGGACAGTTTCGTATGCTACAGTACAGACTGAAAAATATGAAAAGCGCGATTAAGACGTCAAAAAATAAAAAGAATGGCGAAGATAAATATTACGATACATTTAAAACCTTTGTTCAACAACATCAGGCATTAATTGCGTACTGTGACAAATTGCAAGAAGTATTCGGTTTCTATTCACTGGGACAAGTATTCCTGTTTAGCTTGTTAATCTGCTTTGGCGGGTACATGTTACTTTTGGTTAGTATATATGATAATTTCAAGCACTTGAGAAAAACCACTTAAAACTAAAACTAGACTCTTTTTTTGCTGATTTGCAGACTACATTCCCATTCATTAAATGTTTTTTTCCGTGTTAACAGTGCTTTGCTTCGTTACACTAACACCGTTTCTTAGTAATGTTGAAGACTGATTAGTTTTTGTTAATGTTTACCATATACAGGGTGTCCCAAAACTCGGGGAGGAGCCGAAAATGGGGGGTAGCTGAGACGATTCTGAACAACGATTTCCTTTGCAAAAATGTCGAATGGGGCTTCGTTAAGGAGATATTACGCGAAAACCCCGACCAATCAGAGCGCGCGTAGACCGTTCGAGGGGCCGCGGTAGCGTAGGCTACGCGCTGGTGGCCGCGCTTGTACGCGAACAAGTGACTCGACGTGCATCGAAGCATCGACCTAGCGCGTAGCCTTCGCTACCGCGGCCGCTCCAACGGTCTACGCGCGCTCTGATTGGTCGGGGTTTTTGCTTAATATCTCCTTAACGAAGCCTCATCCGACATTTTTGCAAAGGAAATTGTTGTTCAGAATCGTCTCAGCTACCCCCCATTTCCGGCTCCTCCCCGAGTTTTGGGACACCCTGTATACTCAGTGACACTATCTGTTAATAGTAGGTATATAATAAATGTTTTATCATAAAAATGTGGAATAATTGATTACTTTCATCGGCAACTTCGATATTTTAAGGAAGAAGAAAATATAACTGTGTTAATTTGTGTTATTGTATATGTCAAAAATTATATAAAAAATTCAGATATACAATTGCAACTTTTTGAATTTCTATATCAAATGTCCAAGGATGCAAAGTACCATTCTAAATATTCATGAAAAAATCTTCGTATTAATATACACCTAACTTTCACTTACGATACTTGTATCCTATAGGCAGATGCACACCCTGCAAGACGCCTTATTTTCGTGTTCCATATATTCAACAGCATATCGCAGCTATTCATGTTTACCTACAGTTGCGATCGTATAATACACGACAGTACGAATGTCGCCACGGCCATATACTCAGCCCCATGGCCTCGTACGCCAATGAACGCAGATGGACGAACTTTGCGAAGAGATCTAAAACTTATGATGATAAGGTCTAACGTGCCTTGCTGCTTAACTGGTTATGGATTTTTCACAGTATCTCTGGAAACATACACTAAGGTAATCAGCAGTAGCTATTTATTGCTTGTATCTTACTGATAAATGGACTATACCGCGTTATTGTCAGATAATGTTTCAGCAATTGCTTAAGAACTATGTACATAGTTTGCGCTACACAGGGTGGGCTAATAACTATTACCAGCTCAGATATCTTCGAAACTATAAAAGAAATATTTGCTGAATTCGAAAAAGTGGAGTTGCTGTGCAATTTTATTTCAGCAAATATTTCTGTGAAACTTATATTATCTAAGCTTATACAATAATATTTAGATACAAAACAAACTGAGATGTGAGCACAGCATAGTACAGTTGTCACGTTTTTCTATTCAAAGTAAGCATTACAATATTAAGCGAATACAGTTTGTTTTTACAGGTTCTAAGTACAGCACTTTCATACTTTACACTATTGAGGGGAAGCTCTACAGACACGCCATGAAATTGTTGAAACTATGTTGCTAAATACGCTTTTTCCTGAATAGTATACAATCTGTACACGTAATATACCCGAATGAAAATAGTACAAAAGAAAATAGTTTCGCAGTTCCGAAAAAGTTGTATTTATTTCTTGGTAGGTGTAGAAAACAATTTTTAAATGAAAATATATCGAATAGAAGTAAGTGAATGTTATTCCATCTAACAATATTTGTGTAGCTATTCGTAAATATTTTATAAAACCTGTACACGAAACACGAAAACCTGTGTTTGTAAATTAGTATCTGAATAATTCCTTTTAGAGGCTGGAAAACGAGGAAAATATTTATAATAAGTTCATTTTCTGACAATTACGTACAGTGAAAATTAAACCGGTCGTATTGCACAGATTGCTGACTCGGTACACTGAAAGGATAAGTGCGAAGTTATTTAAAAATATGTCACGAATGTATAGATTAGTACTTAGTTATCATTAATACTCAGAAAAATTAAGCATTATTCTTTATTAGTAAAAGAAAATATATATTTAACGTTACCATCGATGGTCACACACTCGCTGGCAGGTAATTACCAACGAAGGTGCGAAACCACCCCATTTTCTTACTATTTTCGACATACTCAGTCTTTTTGTAAAATCAGTCAGAATACACCCGAACTTCTTTCTCAAAAAACACACGACACCACATCCACCAGTCGCAACAAAACAAAAGGCAATAGTTCACCCAATACAACAGTCTTCTTTTTTCTACCATTAGCTATATATCGCGTAACGGTTCGGCAAGTGAGCATTGCGCGACCCTTCAGAAACTTTTGCTCGACAGCTGACTGCATCCGTCTTGAGAATGTGGTTCCGCAGTAGTATGCATAAATCATCGATGATACGTCACTTAAACCAGAATACACAGTTGCGTGAAGAAAAATCCGAAGACTGCGAACTGTGATTAGAGGGTTACTAAATGAAAGACCATACTGAATTGATTTTATACACTATACGCTAGTCTTCGACACAAAGAGACTGTGTAAAAAGTCCAGATTGAAGTATGTTCATCTTTAAAACCAAATAAGAAAAAGTAAAGACAATGCAATGAGTACGAGGTACAGGTGAAGTGCATCAGACTACTACATGCAAGTGTTTGTGTTGAGTGTTGCTCTGTGTCTCGTGTTAATGTGTGCTTTTGTGCTATGTTCATGTTTTTTTTTTTATTATAATTCATTTGAAAAGTAGTAAAACTGAAATTTCTTTTATTTCTATAAAATATTCGACACTGGCATCCTCGATATGCTATCCTGTGTAATTCTCTTTTTTTCAGAATACTGTATTTCTATTAAATGTTTCGAACAAATGATTGAATAATCCTGTATACTATAATAATTCAAACTAGCTTCTCCACTTGTACCACCTCATCACTATTACAATACACACAAAGCCATATTAGCAAAAATGTGTCTCCAAGGCAACAACCTCTACCAATTCATAGACATCCATCCACTTTCGAAACACTTCTTCTAAAACATGCAACACTCACGCAGTTTTCTACACCAGAAAAAATGACACAGACATTCGCAATTATAAATGCTGTATTTGGTAGCGTACAGCCTTCATTTGCAACACGTCTGTCAGTTACAATTCAAGTTCCCAGAGGGTACTTTTCCAAGGATCATGCATAACTTATGATTTCTACCCGCTACCCCTAGAATAAAGTGCAACATTTACATCGACAACTATACTCCAAAAGCAATAAGAATAAATATAATGTATACGATCTGCGAACAAAAGGATGTCAGTAGATCAATGTCATATGGCGTTCGTTCGAACACCCTCGACACCTTGTAAACAACGATACGAACTTTTTAGTCCGTACTCAATATCGAAATCAAACCATTAGATTAATTAAAATTTAATACAATGAACGGGCACAGTAACGACATTTCTATGGCAATAACAACTCGCCTTATGAAGTTTTCCGGCGTTTGGATGGCAGCTAATAATCATGAGCAACGACGCAGGAACATCGTTCTGGTTTACACATCTATTGGGATGCTACTCATCGGTTTGGAAATATTCTCAGACCTTTACTACTCCTGTAGCGATTTTACTGTAAGTGTGCATTAATTAGGAAAATATCATACCGGATAAGACGCGCCACTTTATTCCCACGCGGATCATGTTCACTTTTTGCACGTATAGTCCTATGAAACATATTTATAATTTGGTCATCATGTGCCCTAATTATGTCCATAACATATATTTTATTCAAAAAATTTTATATATATTATTTATATTATTTTTTATTACATTTTCTAAGTTTTTCCTAAGAAAAGTATCGTTCCTGAACTTAATGCATATTTTTTATTGTATTATCCACAGGAATGTCTTTACGTCTCGGTCAACTTTTTAAGCTTGATGCTGCCTACCATCAAGCTACTTATTGTGCTTGCACATAAAAAGGATTTCTTCGAATTAATTCGATACATGCAAGAGAAATTCTTCCATGGGACTTACGACATTCAGGAGAAGACACTTATGAACTCATGCAAAAGCGTCTGTGCATTCTATATTTGCACCTTCACTTGGTGTGCGCATTCGACGGTATTTAGCTACGTTGTAAGTCCCATCATAGGTAAGTTGATTAATTAATACCTGAAAAATTAGAAGTGATTAGTCAATAACAATCATAGCATTATCTATAATATCTATTATAGCGACTCGAAATCGCATTTAAATCGTAATGATTTATATCATATAAAATGTACTATTATTTATTCAAACGTGAATCAACAATTCTCTCGTGTAGTAAGTATTGCTGAGAATTCAGAAAATTTTTAATCATTGTACAAAAAAAGAGTACCTAACAAAAGAAGGAAACTGAGAAAACTACAAAAATGAACAACATGAATTTTAATTGCAGCTAATATTGAAAGAAACGGAACAGACAGATTACTTCCGTTTAGGATGTGGATGGATATATTCTACGTCACACCTTACTTTGAGATAACGTTTGTAGTGCAGGTATTGACAACCTTTGCCTGCTACAGAAAATGTTTTAACGAAAACTAAATTCTTTCTGATAGTATCCTATAAGGGGTTAACACTATAAGAAGACGAAGCAATCGATCGTTCTTTTTTTTAATTTTTTGTTAAAGCGATAATTAAGATAATTAAATTTTCAACACTATTTCCCCGCAGTCTTTGAGCTTGTATCAAGTCGGCGTGTGCTATATGTGCTTCGACAACCTGTTATGCATCATGAATCTGCACACAGCTTGTCAATTTCGTATATTACAATACAGACTAAAAAATATACCGAATATTGTCATAGAAAAATACGTTGAAAATTCGAAATCGCTCACACCAGATTCTGCAGACAAACATTATGCGACGTTTAGAAACTATGTTCAACAGCATCAATTACTTATTGCATATTGCGCCAAGCTCGAGAAAGTATTCAGTGTTTTTGCACTGGCACAAGTGC